GGTTTGTGATATATGTGATAAGGAAGGACCGTTGGCAATTTGAATTTAGAACGGAGTGCCATTTATTATAGCTTCCAAAATTTAAGAAATACTTAAAGGTAAATTTAAGTAAACATGTATAAGAAAGATATACCTAATTCTGAAGCATGTGACTACAGAGATGGCTCAGTGGCTAAGAGCATTTGCTGGTCTGGAGACATAAGTTTGGTTCCTAGTACCCACATTAGGCAGCTTATAGCCATCTGTACTCCAGTTGCATAGGATGCAACGCATTTCTCCCCAACCCTCCCCCCCCCACACACACACACAATCACAGGAAATAGAGTATAATGGTGTTTGCACACATCTACTGCCAGATTATTAGCTGGTGAGAACTGGAGCAATGTCTCAGTGGTTAAGAGCACCCATTGCTCTTCTAGAGGATCCAGTCCCAGAACCCACCTGGGAGTTCACAACCATGTATACTACCTCTCCTAGTCTCTGGGGGGCTCCAGGAGCGCTGCATAGATGGACCTGCAGGCAAAACATCCAAACACATAAAAGTAAAATAAAAGTTAAACCCATCCTTTCCATGAGGTCTCAGCAGCCAGGCAGGGTTTTTCTTTATTATTCATTTGTTCTTATAAACATTGGTAAACGTATGCAGATTTTTTTTTAAATAAAAAAAGAACCCCTCAGTTTTTTACTGACATTTGAGAAGTCTAGGTTGGATGACTTAAAGACTGACTCTATTAGTAAATCTTGATTTGCTGATTTATGGACAGAGATAATAGAATGGGATATGTCTAGAAATGTACTACACTAAGTAGCCGGGTGATTATCTTAGTAAGAATGAATATTACTTTCTGTAAATGACGTGAAACAAAGATATCCCTGTTTTCCAAAAGGAAGCTATTAACATACATATGTCAAGGTTGAGTCACACACTATCTGCATCTCCAGTAACAACATGTATATAGCTATATATTTACATTCTATCTAGTCACATACATGTGAATTTTTATAAATAGTATATAACACACACATTTATTTAGAGCTAAAGGACATGCATCTAAACTGCAGATTAAAGACATGCAATTCTTATTCCAGAAACTCCCCAGCATCAAATACAAATAGATGCTAAGAGCTTCACAGTGAACAAGCTGCATATTAAACCACATTTGTATCGGGCATTTTAAAAGAAATGAAAGATTACCAGTTTAGCCAAACAAAGCCTTCAAAATGTGAAGGGGAAATTATTTTATTTCTAGCCTAGAAATCCTGTACTGAAGAATGGGAGAGGAACACATTAGATTTAGGCAATCAAGGAGGCCAGTCATATAGAAACAACAGGCAGGACTAATACTACAATTGTATAATAAGCCAAACACTCCATAGGTTCTAGAGTTTGAAGTACACCTGGCTGTGAGAAGGCAGGAATGGAGGGGGAGGCATGGCAAAGACCTGAGAATGGGGTGGGATCAGAATGTTTAGAACAATTATTATTAAGTGTGCAACATCTGTGGAGGGAGAAAGAGCCCTGGGCACCATACCACAAAGAGGAGTTTAAAAACCGCAGTTTTAAAATGGGAAAACTTAAAAGCGGTACAAGAACTGAAATGGAATTGGATTCAGCCATATAATAATATATTATGATTAATATCTCCATTAATAATGGACATTTCCATTTTTATACTATTAATTTGAAATTGTCTTATACCTTGAAATCAAAAGAGGCTTGCGAGAATGTTTGTGGGGGATGATGAATCCTTACCAAAAAGCAACATATCTTTTCTAACCCTGAAGGACAAAGAAAGACATATACATTATTTAATGGGATATAATCACTAGACAAAATAATTGCTTTGGAGGTTATGTTTAGGTTGTGGGTGCCAGACAAGAAGGGCATATCTTATTTCACCAACGCCTTTTTAGTTTTGTTTGTTTTTCTTTGCATAAGGGTGTGTATAACTGGTACACATAAAAATAATTCAATTAAAAATAAAATTAACATGCCAGAGGGATGACTCAGCAATTAAGAGCACTTGCTGTTCTTCCAGAGGATTCAAGTTCGGGTCTCAGCACCCATGTGGAGGCTCACAATAACCACCTATAGTAGATGTTCCTACCTCCCTCAGACATACCTTCTTTTTCCATCATCTTATACTACAGATTCCCTTTATTCTTTTACACTGCAGAACATGTCACAATCTATAGTATACAGCTAGCAAACGGAAGATATGTCGTACAAGACTGTAATATAAGTGTGGGAACCATGAGAATGTGCTCTTCACTGTATTGGTACTTCCTGTTCCTTTTTGGTAAACATATATTCAGTAAATGAGAGCAGTAAAAGAAAGGGTAGAATACCTCCAGAGCAAAAAACAAAATTTTTTTTGTTTGATGCAGAATGGTATTCTAGTAAGACCTTTCAGAATCTAAAACGTCTCCCATGTTTGTTTTATCGATAATAAATGGAGATGAAGAGATGATGAAATTCAGTTTACACTTCTAAAACTCTATTTTAAGAGTTAATTACTTACCCGCTATTGATCTCCTTGAGAACAGGATGGGGTGAAAAGGGAGGGCTAGGATTTTGGAAAATAATTCACTGACAAAATGGGAGATGAATTCAAACACATGAGATTGGCTCCAAAAAAGAGGGTGGGGATGAGCCGGCATCAGTTGTGACAGTTGATGTTGACTGTCAACTCAACAGTTTGGAGAATGAGAACATCGTGAGGGATCATCGACCCTAGGTCAGCCTCTGAGCATGGCTTGAAGGGTTGCATTAGTTAGTTTAACTGAGCAGGGGGAACCCACCCCTAAAATTTGGTGGCTCCACTACTTGACTGCATGGAAGGGAGAAAGAATGGTGAATGCCGTCACCCATTGCTCTCTGCTTCCTGGTTGTGGGGCCATATGATCTCCTGCATCTTTAGCTTCCCAGCCAGGATGGGTTGTGAACTGAAATACACTCTGTCTTTCACTGAGTTGCTTCTATCGGGGTATATCATCACAGCAACAGAAAACATACAGACAAATGTGTGTGTGTAGTATTTGGGGGGGGAGGAGGGTTTACAGAGGTTAGAAGAACAGTAGCATATGTCCATGGTGACATGGTATAAAGGATGCTGCTTAAATAACATGGAGAAAACAGGTTAAAATAAACAGAAATATCGTAGTATCCAATGGGAAAAAAAAACCGACACCAGAATGGTGGAAGATGTCTGGACTGTTTCTCGGTGGACAATACTTGCAATGTAAAGGGTGTGTCAAATATTAGTTGGTCAGTAGACTTATTTGGTATACAGTCGCCATTGTTTCTATGGTAATAGAAAATGTTAGGTAGAAATAGAAGTGTTAGGTAGTGTCACATCTTGCAATATACGTATGTGCAGGTACATATTATTCAAACTGGTTTTGTCTAAAAATTTTATTATGTTTTAATGATCCCCTGGAAGAATGTGTTCTACACATGTATTAACAGCTGCTTTCCAAAAGTAGAACAATGAATACCTGGTTTTCAATGTAAAAAATTTTCCCCAGTATTTTTAAATGACTTATCTTGTTTTAGATCACTTTTGTCTAAAGTGCTTTATTAAATTTACATTATGAAATAGTCAATTTTAATGTGTGTGTGTGTGTGTGTGTGTGTGTGTGTGTGTATCAAATAGAATCCACGATTTGGGCTTTGATTCTATTCCCATTGTTCTTTTTTGTTTTCCTACTCAGCAGTGCAAAGGTTAGGCACCTTTAGGTGCTTTTGCTTGTCACAGTTCTGTAGTTTCTCTTCTGTCATCACAAGGGTTGTAAGGTTACTGGCAGTGCAGATATATACTATGAAAAATGAGGCTGCCATTTGTTCTCTAGGCAAAACTAAATGATTCCTTGGGGAGTCAGATGTCAAATGAAATTAGCTGGCCTGCTTCATACTGTTATTCAGGGCTGAGGGCTCTGGCATTGACCACGTACTGGTCTTCTCTTCTAGATCCATATCCTACCAGGAACCAAAGTGCTCCATGTTTTTATGTATACTCCTATCTCAAAATAGCCCTTGGTCTATACAAGGTATACAAGGCTCTTTTTTTTTCTATGAGTTTTTCAAAGTTGTTCACCATAAACATCATAGCACATGTTTTAGTAGGTGTATTGAGAGAATGAAGCCCTAACTATTAGTAGAAATTACCTTTAATAATAGAAGATGCTTTGGAAGGCACCATTACCATGGTAACTAAATATGTTAGGGCTTTCGTGGCTCCTGTTAATAGTCCCAGCTCACAGCACCTTGGAAGGTAATTCTTGATATCACAGAGGCAGGATCTGCACAGGAAAACATATCCACTTGTTGCAAAGTTCTGGTGTGTGAACAGTTACTATCCAGTGCAGAGACAGAGACACAGAGAAGGCGAGAGAGAGACAGAGTGACAGAGAGACAGAGAAACAGAAACAGAGAGAGAACCTCCTTCCTAATTATATCTATAATTTTTTCAATGCTTGAATTCTTTTTAATTTTGTTGGTGCCCATGAATAATCTTTTTATTTAAACAGTGACATTTTAAACGGTTGCATTTTTAGTTTTTCTTCAGAAAATTCTCAGCTCTTTCTGAAACTCATATGCGCTCACACGCGCGCTTACACACACACACACACACCTTACTGTATATGCGGGGTAGCCCTGATCTGTCTTTAGTGAGTGAAATCTGGCATAATTGTGGAAAGGTTAATGTGTTAAGAGTCACATAATGTAAGAATTGATCGTCAGCCACTGAGCATGGGAATACAGAGAAGACAGTCAGAGCACGAATTGATTCAGTATTTCCCCTACTCCTGGAGGCGCGACCTTCCTATCTTCTTACTGCTTTTCGTCTTAGTAGACGATTCATTGTTTTCACCTAAACTGGAGTGTGGAGGAGGAAGAGCTAAGTCTGAAGAGCATATAAATGTTCCTTACAATCTATCAGAAGCTGGCTGTTGATTTGCTGAGGTGAGGAGCACACTAACCCTGACTCTCTCCACAGTGGGTAAACCTCACAAGTGTAACTACTGTGGACGAAGCTACAAGCAGCGCAGCTCACTGGAGGAGCACAAGGAACGCTGTCACAACTATCTCCAGAATGTCAGCATGGAGGCTGCTGGGCAGGTCATGAGTCACCATGGTGGGTAAAAAATGCTTTTGCGATTTTTGTTCCTTCCTATTCTGCTGTGTATAGTCCTTCTCGTGGCTTAAGTCCTCCCATCTCTTTCTACAGCTTTCAACCACATTTGCTTTGTATGGGATTATCTTCCTCAGCAGTTGACATGAGCTGTTTTGGAACACACTACTAACAAGATTCTTGAGTTTCCGTGGCACTCCCAAATCAGTTCTGATAGCATGTGTTTGAATTAACACAGTAATGACAGCCAGCATTAGAGCTAGATTAGAAATGCCACAGGAAAGTACTGTTTAGTCTTCCCTTGTGTTTCTCCATTGAAATGGTTCCACGTAAGTCTCTGAGTTCTCTGCATGAATACAGAGGGTATTAGCATTACAGCTTCTCTCAAAGGTGCACAATCAGCTTGGAATGGTGCCGAATAATTTATTTGGCAAACTAGTAATTTTACTTTGTACATATGCAAGAGACAACTTAGACCAAAATTTGATTCCTCCCCTATCCCCTAAAACACATTCTGTCAGAAAAACATCTCGATCCTAACAATACATTGTGGCAGTATGGAAGGTGGTCCCCACTGTGTGAGAGGTCCTGTAAAGTTAATTCAGCTAATTGGTCTTACAGAGGAGAGTAATGAATTTCAATTCTTCAAATTCTTAGTGTCTCTTTATCCTACTACTTATACTGAATGGTTTCATATAAACAAAAGCCAAAGTCCTACCTTATTGGTAGTTTTGTATCTTTTATTTTAAAAGGATTGACTAATACTAGATGGTGTAATTTGCCTCAGTCACTTTAAAAATATATCCATTGCCTTAGATATAGACAAATTAAAGATTGTTTATCAAATTTTAGTTTGATATATATATATATACACACACACACACACACATGCACACACACACACATGCACACACACACACACACACATGCACACACACACACACACACATGCACACACACACTATGGAAGTGTGTTTATTATAGAGTTGGTGACTTTGTGGTTATGAGTTGAGATTTTTTTCACAATTTTAAATATTTTTGTTATTTTGCATAATTTGAGTTCTTACATAAAGAATAAATGTCAACTAAATGGATGAGTGAGGATATCATAAGACCCAGAGCATGGAGGGTATATATATATACAGTTGTGGGCTTGGAGTTTGATAAATCTGGCTTGACTATCAGGTGTTTGAATATGTTGGTCATAGGTATGCTATGAGAATTAAATGTAACAGGTTATATAATGAATGTCGCCTAAACAATTATTTTGCTATTAGAATTCAGGTCACTAATACTAAGAGCCACTAAATAGGCCATTCTCTTCAATGTTATCACTGTCTAACACTAGAGGTTGCATTTGCCTACTAAGAACATTGTTTTGTTTGAAACTGATGGTTCTCTACCTTCTTTTTGCTGCAACCCTTTAATACAGTTCCTTGTGTTGTAGTGACCCCAATCATAAAATTATTTTCATTCATTGCTACTTCATGATTGTAATTTGTCCTCTTTTATGAATCATAATGTAAATATTTTTAAGGTAGAGGTTTGTTTGTCGGGTTGTGAGCCACAGGCTGAGAACAGCTGTTTTAAATTGTTGGTTTGGGAACTGACTAGAGGCAGAGGACTGAAGTAGGTTTAGTAGCATGCAAAGCTCTTCAGGGATCCACTACTGTGTTACTAGTACTCCATGTGATGTGTGCTCATTGAAATGTTGCAATTCTGGCTTTTGGTTAGAGGACATATGCAAATTCTATTCATTTATTTTTCTATTCATTCATTTACAGAACTCTGAATTACATGTTTACCCAAATAAAAGCCAGATTTTTTCGTAACTTTATCTTATTTTAGTATATACATATATATTTTTAATATATATATATGTGTACACTATCCTAGAATTAGTGTCATATATCATGAAGAGATAGCTATGTGTCTTCTACGTAGCTGGTGCTTGATATTGTCCCATTTGCCAGATATTTTGGCCTTCTCAAGTACTGGCTCTGGTGATGAACCAAAAACACAATGAGGATGAGCTTGAAAGACAAGGCAAGGTGCTGGGAAGAGCAGGGCCAGGACAGGGGGGAGTAAGTGATGACAGGTTTTGGTGGTACAGGCTTTAACATTTGTTCTTAAAAATTAGATTGTGAAAAAAAAAATTAGATTGTGCTTCAACCACACTCACTACATGGTTAACACATTTCATGCTGTGCTTTCTTGGATTCATAGTAATAATCTGAGAGCATTGTAAGCTTCTTTTCCTTCCACTAACATATTTAATAGGGAACTGTATTGAGTTTATGAGGAAGCAAATGACAGATGCCATGCGGTGGGGAGCAAAGATAGAATGCTACTACAGTTGTTAATTGTCTCATATGCCAAGCTTGTCTTGCATCTCAGACATCCATATTTATTCTTTCCTTCTCTTCCTGTTCCCCTTTGTGTTAGTGGTATGAGTGGAGGGTTTTATCTGTATGCCTACCATCAACTCCATGTCTTACACAGTTAATTTTCTTAGCCACTCTTTGCCAAAGCTTGTTTGTTCTCACACTGGTTCTTCATGGGAAGAAGGGCTATTCTTCCACTTCACCCAGAAAGCACTACCAAAGATTTTCTGTGGAACATTCTAGAAATAGAAAGATAAAAGGTCTCATTTTATATATATTTATTATATTAGTGGACAACCCAGGTTAAAAAAAAAATAACAAAATGAATGGAGGTGAGTGCTGTAGTGGCGGCGTCCGTGAAGTTCTCCGTGAGCACAGACACTTTGCTGGTGGAGAAATTGAGGAAATATTCAGACATGCATACTGTCAGATCTGGGAATGAGAGGTGAGAAAGTCCATATACCTGACAGACTGTGTATCCCATGAAGAGAGGAGGTGGGCAGGGCATCAAAGACCATCAGCAGACTATGCAAGTTAAATGAAAGAGGGTCAGAAAGTAAGGCTGAAGTGACAGCTTGGGAGGCGAAAGCACTGGATGAGGCTCCAGCCTGTGGATGCCATGGTTTGACTGATAGGAAGCCACGGGGCGATTGATATCAGTGTCATCTAAAGGAAAGTATCACCAATGTAGACAAAGGTAGGATGTCTTCCTGGGTCAGAGGATAGTTATGAGTAGAGTGGAGACGGTGATGCCAAGGAGCGGGTGGAAAGGCAGTGCCAGGACAAGGAGTAGGGCGCACTGGAGGTGTGTTGAGGAACCAAATGCTCTTAGAAATGTCAGACAACGAAGTCTTCCTAGAATTTGAAAATTGATGGTATTTGTTGTTAAAAGGAGCAGTGTTGGGAAAACTCACATGGATCCGTGATGAAATAATATATGAAAAGATAAATATAATTTTATCTTCCATATTACTCCAAATACAGCCAAAGACAATGCTGAGTTATGGAGTTTGCTCAAAAAAAATTATGAAGCTATTATCATATATATACTTTTAGCCTAGATAAATGTCCTGTTATGTAATTAATACAATTGAGAGATGAACTAACTAAAAAAAGTTTTAACTTCTAAAGAGTATAGATCCAGAAGCAATATGTTAAGCTCCACCACATTTATAAAAGCAAAATCTCAGATTATATATATAATTAAGTACAAAAGTGTCAGGTCTTTTCCTCACGCACTTAGAAGGCTGTTATGCTTTTTATATGTCAGTATTCAAAATATGTCTACAAAAATTCCAGCATAGACCAGGCCCTCCTTAAAGCCAGACTTCCCAGGATTAGCACTCTGACCTGCTAGTGAAAAAATTACTTCCAATCTTGGTATTGTCAATTCCCTGTCTGTAGAACGAAGACCACCTGCTTCCTGGAGTACTTGAAAGTATTGTAGACATTATTAATTGTAAAGCCATGAAAGAGTACTTACTACCACGTTTCTGCCCATTATTATTATTGCCAATGTGGCAGAAAGTTTGCCTTTTGGCATCAAGAGCTGCTGTGAAGTTGACAATACAGCAAACCCTGTTGTAGTCATTATTTTCAGTTCACATGCGTTTCATTGAACTTGAGACAAGCCATCTGAGCTGAAGTGGATGTGGTATGGGACAGTCCCCACCCAGGTTTCATTCTGAGTGTTAGGTTTGTGCAAATATGAAAATTCAGTGTAAAACCTAAAGCAAAACTGCCCATACTTTGAACTACTCATTTCAGAACCAATTAGCATATTCAATTTAGGGGGCAAACCCCATCGACTACTTTTGCTGCCTTTTTGGCAAATTTTACAACATTTTTTTTTTTTTTTTTTTTTTTTTTTTGCCTGCCACCAATATTTTTCATTCTGTGTCTAGGCTTGTGATGCATATTTGTTCTTTGGTTCACACATGAACTACTTTGTAGTTTTGTTGGCTGTTTTTGTTTCTGGAGCAGGCTCTTGGTGCATATCCCGGCCTAAAGTTCAACTTAAGGCAATTCTTCTGCCTCTTCCCAAGTGCTGGGGTTACAGGTATAAGCCACCATGCCTGGCAGGTAGTTCTTTTATTAGGTATCAAGTGCTTATGAATTTACTACTGAAAACACAAAGTTATAATCTACATCTCACCATCTATTTCCTCACCACTCCAATGCCATTATTTTAGCCTCCTGCCTCCTGGCTCCCTTAGCTGAGTTCTCTGGTCATCTTGGTATTGTTTTTTGTTTATATTCCAAATTATTTTTACAGTGGTTAAAATGTCACATAATATCTTTATGTAATGCTTTGGGAGAAATTTTCCTCTGAGTACTATCAAAAACAATTTCAGTGTTAATGCCCACAGTTCTAATTCTCACCTTGCCTTTTTTTTTTCCAAGCTGACAACAAGCAGTTAGAGAATCCCGTATTATTCAGAGCCAGGTTACCCAAATATTGTTGGTTTCTTTTAAAATGGCTGGGTGAAGAAACCTTTTTTATTTTATTTTCATTTCAAGATGAGTAACAGGTATTGATAACCAGTAAGTCATTTGAAATGTGCTTTCATTTCATCTTTGCTTTAAAATTTTAATGTTCATCATCAGAACACCCTCCCCCCATTGGTTAGAAGGCAGTGGGTTTCACACAGTAGGTCTGTCCTCTACAAATGCACGGATCTAGGCAAAGCACTTTATAGTGTATGCTCAATGAAGACAGAGCGCCTAGGAGACAGAACCTTCTGCTCTTTTGTGTGAGCACCAATGTTAATCACCCCTTCTGATCTGTGTGGAATGTCAACCTCTTCCTAGTTAAATATCCTGGACTGGATTCTTACTGAATAGCAACTTTTATGAGTCACTTGTCTATCCTAGCAATGTCCATACTGAAGCCAACAGCAGCTAAGGCATGTGGAAAGAATGGAGCCCATCAAATGAATCAGGGCAATAGTTCAGTGAGCCAGTGTGCTAGTTTGGAAATGGAATCCTTTATGCTGCGGACGGGCTGTTTTTGGAAATAAACTACAGTCTTAAAGGCATTACAGTGTACTACCTACAGACAAGTGCAGAACCGGACCTCCTGTGTGAAGGATCACATGCAGGCTGTTGTGCTGCCAGTAAGGTTAGGGCCTCATCAAATAGAAAATCAGCTGCAGGAAAACATGTGGGGGAAGAGTCATGAAATACTCTGTTGCTGCTGCTGCTGCTGCTAAGCCTTTCTCCAAAACAAGGTAGCATATGTAAATTATTTTAGAAAATCAAAGTCTCAATAATAGTGCAGTCTAATGTATTATCAATTTTTATCTATACTAAACATACTTTGGAGGAATAAGATGAGAAAAAAATCAGGTGAGCATGTTGGTTGATCACAAGTCGTAGCAACAGTTTATGTCACTGGTCTAAGAGAGAGGTTCAAATTCATAAAAATAAACCGTGTGTGTGTGTGTGATATTAAAAAATGTTCTTTAATGCTGTGATTTTTACTTTCTTTTATTTGGGTAGACAAACTTACTTTGTACAACACACATCAGTATAGCACACTTATCTGTGTCTCTCAAATGTTGAGGAAATCACCAGATTGCCTTTTTATATGGTTTTTGTGTAGTACCGCCTATGGAAGAGTGTAAAGAACAAGAGCCTATTATGGACAACAATATTTCTCTGGTGCCTTTTGAGAGACCCGCTGTCATAGAGAAGCTCACGGCAAATATGGGAAAGCGCAAAAGCTCCACTCCACAGAAGTTTGTGGGTAAGCAGCACAGAGGGATGACATCGTTCCACACCTGGGGACTGCGATGGAAAAAGACATGGTTCCATGTGGTAGACATATGAGTGGTGTGTAAATATCCGTGTCTTTGCCCCATCATTTTCTCCTACTCTATGACCTTCCATGCACACACATGTGTGTAGATGCACACGCACAGCCTTAGACACAAGGGAAAGTTAAAGGATGATAGTAAGTACCATCTCAGCATGCAATGATTGATTGATATATATAGTGAGATTGTATGTTAAAGCTAACATGTTATTTTAATTCACACTGAATAAAAGATGAGATCTACATTACTGGCCACATTTGTGGTATCTTTTCACTTATATTAGTGTTTGCTTTTTTCTATTTTAATTTCTAATATTAATTCCCTGAGTATTTGATCTAGAATTAAAAAGCACTTTAAGTGTTCCCAAACTTTGACCTCAAAAATTAATGTAGCAGTGTCCATCTAAGATGTTTCGTACATGCACCTGTATTTTTTGTTTTGACCCCTGTTTTTCATACCGCCTATGAATTTTGAGCTGAAAAGATGAAAATTTGTATATTTAGACTTTATTTTTCATTTCCAAGTCTTTAGATACTCTCTGGTATACCCAGTGTTGGCATCATTCTTCATCCATGCTGTATCTTGTGGATCATCTCTGAGGACAGAGGGTTTTGCATTTGTTAAAGAATGTATGAATGGAAGAGTTTCAGTAGAATTGTTAAAGAACCATTATTCCTTATATATGTAACATATCTTTTTTATAGTAATAATGTTAAAAGATTAGGTAAAACTATTAAAACAGATTCTCATATTCTACCACCGGAGAACTAAATAGTGGCTGGGAACTAGCCTCTTCCTTGATTATTTAAGGAGGCTACAAGAATTCTGTTGCTCCAGCAAGACCTTTGAGACGCAAATCATTTGTCACACCAAGACCAACTGAAGGGATATAGCGACTCAGAGCAGGCTAATGGATAAGCCCAAGAGCCATGCTTTATATGAAGCCAATTCAACATCCTAGATTGTACTAAGTGACCCATCATGGCAGTTTTCTTCCTGTCTTTTTTAAAGGTATCTATGAACATTAGAGAGGTGGTAGATCAGTCTTTATTTTGTCTTATGTTTTATTTAGGTACTTGTTTCTTGTCTTACTCTTGACTGCACTCAAACTCGCAGCAATCCTTCTGCCTCTGCCTGCTGCATGCTAGTATTGCAAGTGTGAGATGCTCATTTAGTTTATAAAAGTGATTAGTTTGTGAGAGATAAATATTCATATCTGACTACTATTATAAGTGGAAAGTACAATTTAAAATTACCTCAAATTATTTAGTCAACTTTGTGTCACAGTTTGTGTTCCCCTTGACTCAGAAATGCTACTTTTAGCCCTTGCTATATGGCACTTGTTATGTAAACTAGGCTGGCCTTGAACTCAGAGATCCAACTTCCTCTGCCTTCCAGGTACTGGGATTCCTTAGAAGGGAGGATTTTTTAAAATGACAATATGATTTTAAAATAATATTTTTTATTTAAACTTGATGTTTGTTTAATTTGGAATGCATTCTGATAATATAGAGCAAACAATAGCTAGAGCAATTAAGTAACTATGATTGCTCTTAAAATGGCAGTTTTCATCATTCCAAACTTTGCATGACCCTTTCATATGCCCTTCAGTTAAACACTGCTGTTTGACCCACTGTATTCTCCAGGCAGTGATTCCTGAAGTTATGTTTGTCTGTTTGTCCTTTGCACCCTTCTTTATGCAGCTTAGATTTCATGCTCCATCCCTTTAACCACTGTCCTACAGTATTCTTGACTCTCTAGCCTTAGTTTCCTTCTTCTCCTGGTGACATCTCACTGTCCCATGAGTGAGACTAAGCATCTTTCCCACACTCTGTCTCAGCTGCCAGTAAGTAGTTCTGAAGTACCAGATTACCCACCCAAAGCATGTAGTGACATTCCTTTAATAGATCCCTGCATAGCCTTCATGGCCATTTTCTACAAGTCTCTACTCTGCACACTTGGCATGTCTCTCTTTGGAGAGCATAGCTCAATAATCACAGGGAACAAATGAGATGATTTCATTATATCTCCAATGCTGTAGGGTTGTGGGCATCCATGTAAATACTTGTGTGTGTTTTTTCCCTTTTTCAGTGATAGAAGCACCCCTCATTCTGATTAAGATTAATACCTGGCTTTTGTGCTCCTGAATTCTCTGTCCTGCCCTCACAACATTTCCATCATTCTTATTTCCCTATCTGCACTTCATGAGGAATTCTGTTACTTTTAGCCAAGTCTCCCCTCACCCCAAGTCTCCATTTGTGTACTGTTACCTTCTTTCTCCTCTTCAAAGGTGAACTTCTCAGTGCCTCCTTCCCATGCTTTCCTTCCTTCTATTCACTTCCCCGGCATGCAACCTGGTTTTCTTGCTTAGGCTCTCCTGAAAGTATTCTCTTAGAGGCTGCAGTCTATCTGCATGATTCTGAACCCATTGAGCCCTTTCTAAACAGTGTCCTGTATGTACACACATCCTAAAGATCGTCTGCCACTATTGAAATCTAAATCCTTCTGAAAAACATTCTTTCCATGATTTCTAGAAGATTTGTCTCTCCTCTTTTCTTCCATCGTCTCTGTTCCTCTTTACTTAACTATAAACACGTATAGAATTCTGAAGAGTCACCTCACTAGATCTTGGAAGAGAGTGCCCCATGGAACACACATTCTTGATTCTTTTTATTTTCAAAACATCACACCACACATACACACACACACACACACACACACACACACACACACACACACACACCACTCATGCGCCCTGCACTAATAGGTGCCCCTCCCTGTACATATAAGTTCTTGCCTATGGGACCACACAAATAGCACACAGAGGATCACATGAAGTCCAGAGCACTGCTGGTACAAAGGCTGTATGGAGCCTAGAAACATGCTCAGACACTGCTATTGAAGGATTTCTGGGGTCCCTGAACAGAAAAGAGTGCAGTCTGCATTCTCTGGCCAGAGCCCTTCTAGATATGCTGTGAAGTGTAGGAATCCAACCTGGCTCTGTCTGCTGACATAAAAGAACTTTCCCAATACTCTTCTTGCCCTTTTCTTCAGTTTACCGATGGCAGAGTGATACTATCAGCTGCCATGCTTCTATAATTGCCCTCTATCAACAGATACACCTGTTACCCATATGATTCTCAAACCGAAGCGATTCCCTTTTCTATCTTGCTGTCATCCATTCCATTTCCCAAGACTGAAAACAGCTTCACACTTGCCTTTCTCATTATTTGTCCAGATAATCACTGAGGCCTAGTAACAGTATTGGTAAAAATTTCTGTCCATTCCATTACGCCTTCTCTATTTGTGCCATCACTACCCAAGTCCAGGCATCTCACTACAACAACTTTCTGAACCCTCTTGTTGAAATAGGATCATATCAGGCATGTTCCTGTTTAAGTTCTGCAAGCTGTAGTGCTCTCGGAGTAATATCCCTCCCTCTCCTGCTGCATGCCTTGTTCTCTGACTCATTTTAGACATCTGTTTCCACTCTCTGCCATGTTGAAATGTAATTGCTTATTTATAAGTCATCCCCTCTTATTCCCTAGCCTTCCTGCCAACAACTCAACCTTCATGCTTCTTTACTACCCAAAGTTTACCATCCCGTTCACCATCCTGATGTCACTTCCTTCAAGAAATCTTCCTTTGCTCCTCTTATACATGTTAAATATACCTCTTCTTTGAGCATAAAATACCTACCACAATGTCATCATCTAAAATGTACGCTCTCTGAGAACATGGGTCAAATTTATCTAGCTTAATTCTGAAATTTTAAAAGTTTAATACAATTTTTATTGTTTGTTTTTGCTATTCAGTTGGTTTGCTGTTGTTGTTTTTTTTTTTTTTTTTGTTTTGTTTTGTTTTTCCAAAAGATGGTTTCTCGATATAGCTCTTGCTGTCCTGGAACTCTGTAGACAGTCTTTATCTAGACCATTCTGGGCTTTAACTCAGAGATCCCTCTTCCTCTGCCTCCTGGATGCTAGGATTAAAGGTGTATACCACCACACCTAGCTCAATACCTTAAACTGGATGCCAGGAGGTGATTTGTTTTCATTACTCCATCATTAGCTTTACTGACTGTGAGGCTATTTTGTTTTCTGTTTCTTGTGTTTTGTTTGTTTGTTTGTTTTTTTGAGACAGGGTTTCTCTGTTTAACCCTGAATGTTCTGGAACTCACTCCCAAGACTGGCCTAAAACTTAGAGGTTCTCTGCTGGAATTAAAGTTGTGAGCCACCACCATCTGGCAAGGCTATTTCTTCAAATCTCAAATAAGATTAATGTTTTAATGCTGCCTCTTCCAGCATAATAGAATCTACATTTTCTAGCATCACTACACATTAGGCCTTTGCCCACACATTTTTTTGTTTGTTTGTTTTGTTTTGTTTTTCAAGAAAGGGTTTCTCTGTATTGTTTTGGAGCCTGTCCTGGAACTCGCTCTATAAACCAGGCTGGCCTCGAATTCACAGAGATCCACCTGCCTCTGCCTCCCAAGTGCTGGAATTAAAGGAGTGCTCCACCCATGCCCAGCTTGCCCACAACATACTATAACATACAATAGCATACTATTTCAAGAAGCTTTATCTGTAAGCTTTCCTTGTCAATGTAACTATTGTAAATACCACATTGCTTTAATGTCAGAACTGTTAAGAGATGAACTACTCTGACAAATAGGAATTATTACTCTTTTTCTTTTCTGTTTAAAGCTCCCAAACTCCTTAATGGTTAATACTCAAACCTTGTGTTGAATAAAATACTGGGGAATTTTTTTTTATTTTTTAATAATAAAAGTTAAAGGAAAAACAATATACTTGAAACAAGAAGAATCAAGCAGACTAACAACTGGCATACAGGGTATCATTGTCACACATCTGGACACATCTGGTGTAAAAGGGAAAAGTTGCCAATTCCGAGAAACAAAACTTAAGTAACTTTTCAACTTTGTGAACAAGTATTTATAATAATTCTTAGTACATTTTAAAGTAGCTTTTAATTCCATTCATTTTATCAGGTGATATAGCTTTCAAAACACTTTAAAATTGACTGTTTACATTCTACTGCCTGATATATATGACTCTATAACATTTCTAAAGTCGTAGGTAAATCAGCCAAATTATTCCTGGGCAGCATAGGCTATAACCAGATCCCTTATGCTTTCCTGGTCACTATGGCTCATTCATTGTGCTCGCAATATGCAGAAATGAGCATCTTAATAAAAATTAAAAATAAAACAAAGGCTTTCAGGTTGGCTGCATCTCTGTGGTGTCATTAAAGCAAGTGCAAATGGCTTGTTACAAATTCAGCTGACCTGAACAAGGAGGAGCTAACAGGCCCCCAGACTGATAGCTGGGAATCCAGCATGGGACTGATTCAGGCCCGCCTGAATATGGGTCTAAGCCAGAAGGACTAAGCAGTCTACAGAACCTCAGACAGTGGAACCAGGATGTATTCCTGGTGCACAAAAGGACCTTGCAGACACATCCCCCAAGGAGGGATAACTGCTTTAACCTAGAGACAGGAGAGAAGTCCTAGTCCCTACTTCAAATGACTTGACAGATTTACATGACCCCACCTGGATGGCATTGCCCTACATATGGAATTGGGGTGGGGGGATGGGAGGGGAGGGTGTTTAGAGTGCATGTGAGAGGGCAGAGAGGGTAAAAAGGGAGGGGAGGAGGGAGGAAGGGCTGGGGGGGGGGAGAGAGAGAGGGAGGGAGAGGGAACTGGGATCGACATGTAAAATAAAAAAAAAAACTAATACACACACACACACACACACACACACACACACACATTCTTTTTTGCATGGCCACAGTACCTGTGCATCTCAACAGAATTAAAGCATAAAATAGCACAATTTGTGTAAAATGGAGAAAGTGTTTAGTTAACTTTGTACCTTTTTATATTTTTAATCCAACCACTAATTTTGTTGTTTTCTCTCCTCCCCCCCCCCTTTTTTTTTTTAAATTTTCATTTTAGGGGAAAAACTGATGCGATTCAGCTACCCAGATATTCATTTTGATATGAACTTAACATATGAGAAGGAGGCTGAGCTGATGCAGTCTCATATGATGGACCAAGCCATCAACAATGCAATCACCTACCTTGGAGCTGAGGCCCTTCACCCTCTGATGCAGCATGCGCCAAGCACAATCGCCGAGGTGGCCCCAGTTATAAGCTCAGCTTATTCTCAGGTCTACCACCCCAGCAGGATAGAAAGGCCCATTAGCAGGGAAACGTCTGATAGTCACGAAAACAACATGGATGGCCCCATCTCTCTCATCAGACCAAAGAGTCGACCCCAGGAAAGAGAGGCCTCTCCCAGCAATAGCTGCCTCGATTCTACTGACTCAGAGAGCAGCCACGATGACCACCAGTCCTACCAAGGAAACCCTGCCTTAAATCCCAAGAGGAAACAAAGCCCAGCTTACATGAAGGAGGATGTCAAGGCTTTGGATGCTACCAAGGCCACCAAGGGCTCTCTGAAGGACATCTATAAGGTTTTCAATGGAGAAGGAGAACAGATAAGGGCCTTCAAGTGCGAGCACTGCCGAGTCCTTTTCCTAGACCATGTCATGTACACCATTCACATGGGTTGCCATGGTTACCGGGACCCACTGGAATGCAACATCTGTGGCTACAGAAGCCAGGACCGTTATGAGTTTTCATCACACATTGTTCGAGGGGAGCACACATTCCACTAGGCCTTTTCATTCCAAAGGGGACCCCTATGAAGAACTGCACAGGAAGAAATACTGCACTTACAGTCCCTCCTTTCCTCAGATGGTGACACTCTTTCTCCTTAATACCGTCACTGTCTATAATTCTTATTTTGTGGACAACATGTCATTTGCTCTGCCTAATTATACCAAGAAGGAAACAAAAGAAAAGGGGTGGGCTGTTCACTGATGCCGTGGCTTGTTTATTTTGTGGGTCTCTAAAGCAGTTTGTTTCTGCCATGCATCCATATTAAGGCCTGCCATGCTTTGGGGGGAATCATTTGGTTCACAGAGATTTGCCTACACTATTCTGATTTGCCATTGATGTTCAGGATCATGATGGAAGGCAGGACAGTTGGGCATTTTCTGGGTAGGACTTTGGCAATTTAAAACGGTCTAAGTAATTTTATTCTCAAAGAGATTTCAAAATGTAAACCCCTTTTATTTTCTGTTCTTAGAGATCATGGAACACAAACACATTGTTATTTTCAGTAACTCCTAGGATGAGTTGACTTGTTGTGGGTTCTATGTTTACCTCCCCTATGGAATTTATAATTCAGTATGTTTTACACTGTATCGTGTAGTAAAACTTTTAAAACTACAGGTAGTTAAGGGCCACTACAATGCATCTGAGGTCCTTTGATCTTATTTTTCTAAACTTGCGCACTGTTTTTCCATAGTTTTGATGACTGGCATTTTATAGACACCCTGGCAGCCTTACTTTTAACACCTGTAACAAATAGTATTTTTATGTAGTTTTCAGAATAACATATGGTCTAAGAGTGGGTAAGAGGCAGTCAGTGATTTCCAGGAAGAAGTCTGCTCTTCACAATTTGAGCTTTTTTTTTTTGAGTTGTAATGCCATGGATGGCAGCCTAGTATACAGATTTGTTTCTAAAGGTGTGTTTACCTCGTCACTTTATCAGCATTTAATCAGTGTTAACCAGTCAGCAGAAAAGTGTAATTAGGCTAACAGTAGGGGGAAATCCCACTCTGAGAACCCTTTTCTGGTATTTTTCTTCAAGCTGTGACCACTCAGTGTTCTATCCATAGTCCTTTCCTCTTTGACTTTTGGAATAGAAGATCTTAAGGCACCTGGCTATCAGCTGCTTCTTTCTAAATCTGGGAGCAGCTAATTGGACCTGAATATGGTCACCTGAACCCTGGAAGGTCATTTATTAACTAGGGCTATTTATTCCACTATTTCTTTAGTAATAACAGTTACTACCTTTGCTGCAGACAAAAGGGAACTTCTTTGTAATCTTTATATCACACTGAAGATCACACAAAAGAGCAACAAAGTTTTCTTTTACCCTTCTTGGAGTTGAGAAAGTGACCCTCTTCAGGTGAAGGTCTTGCACTTTAAAAAAAATAAAAAAATTTTTTCTTTTAATCAACTCTATAAGTCCTTGTCAGAAATGCATCTCAATCCCTTGGTAGAGAACTTCCTGTCTTCTCTTCGTTTGCACAAGGCATATGCTTCCATGTTTCATGTGCAGATTTTCAGTTGATCTCTGGGAGTGCTTGGCTTTTTCTCTGGAGTCCACTGGCATTTGTGAGTGGGATCGGAGCACGCTGTTCTCAAGTCATTTGGGGGGGGGGTGCATTTGGCAGGCGTACCTTGCTGCTTGTGTTTGAGGAAAACAGCCTGACCACGACTGGTTTATCTGATAGCCATTTGTAAATGCTGAAGGTCTGCTAAACAGTGACAAGTTAAGTGCTGTGACAGACCTTGAGTAGCACGCCGCCAAAGCCATGGAACTGCAGTGTGACCTGGGAAGTATCAGGAACTGTTCACTGATGAGCAAGCAGCATTCTCTTAACTGGCTTTGCAAGTTTCCATCGTTCATTTAAAAATAAATAAATTGTTAGCTCTAACATAGCTAGAGCTAGGTAGAAAAGTTCTGACATGACTCTTTTACTAATCCTTTTATCTGAGTTATTTCTAGACAGATGTCCAAATGGTTTCCTTACATGTAAGAAAATGCACCAAAACAGAAATATAACGAATGCCAATTGTTGGGTTTTTCATTTTCTGGATTTTTTCTTTCTTTCTTTCTTTCTTTCTTTCTTTCTTTTTTTTTTTTTTTTTCCATCCCTCTGTAATTTGTGAAAACACAGTTTACTTGGAGATAAAGTGTTTTGTCAAGACTCCCTTACCCCCAGGTACCCTGCACACTCTTGAATCCTAATGGAAATGGCATTTATGTTTGGATGAGACAAACAATATTAAGGCTTATGATTTTGTGTTTTTACCGCAGTTTAACAAAGCATTTGGATGCCTGTCAATGTGTTCATAATTTTGGCTCTGTGAATTTCTGCTGGGCATCTGTTTTATCAACTTAGTTCATTCTCTCTCCTCACACTGACTGTATTAACAATCATGATCTACCTGCCCAAGGAGTAAACTGAATTTAGGTACACCTAAAGATTTGCGTACTCCCCCAAGAAGATGGTACTAACATACTCCCTACCTTTCTAATTCCATCTTAGTAGAAAACCTGATGTATTCAAAAGAGTCAGCTATGACTGCATCTGCTGTATGTATACATTAACATGTTTTGTTTTGTTTTTTTAGATGCATGACTCAAGGCACAGAAAAAAAAGTAGATGGCTCAGGTGTGAGAGGGACAAAGGAGGACAAGTGAATCCAAACTTTGTAGGTTACGGTGAATTTTGTGGACACAGTGCTGTCTCGGGGACTCTATGGCTTTTTCACCAAAGAGAATAGGCGGCATGTAAGGGCCAGATACCAAATAAATCAAATTTCGTAACACTTAGAAGCCCAGTTTAAGTAGGTGAGATTTAACAGTTGAGAGAGTATTTGAGGGGCATGAAAATGGGTTATCCTCTGTGTTTTCCAGTTTGGCAGAAATTTATCAGATGATTCTGTCCTAATTTTTCCCATATATATATATTTTTTTTTTTAAATCACCAGTTCTTTCTGGAGAAATGCACTGCCTCTCTGATGAATTGCTGTTAGAAAGGCTTCCTAGAACAGTGACCAGCACCATGAGCAGTAGAGAGAGGCAGGAAGCACTGTCATTCAAACATTCCGTTGAGAATTTTCTGAATAAAATGGGGAAATGAGGGCTGACCTTTGAAATTTAGGATGAAGTAGTCTGCCTAGATGGTGCATATACAGGGCACTGTTTGAAGGCATTGCAGTTTGCAGGCACAGGTGTATCGCACATTCTTTTAATGAAGATTCATGAAAAGAAGTGGTTAGCATGATGTGTTACAAAAGCTTAGCATTAAGAGTACAGTTATTATATCAGCACTTAGGTCTACTTTACCAGGTTGTATTAAGAAATACCAGTGTGTCTTTAGGGCTAGTAGCAAATTAAATCTCATGTTTCCATTATCTATATCCAGGGGAAAAACAATGAAAAGATATTAAGTTGACTGGTGAAAATTTAAAGAAATACAGATTTCCCACCCCCCAGAGGAAGAACATGCAGGAAATGATTTAGCAACTTTGTCTTGTATTTGTGCTTTTTGTGTCACAGTTATACACCTCACAAGACCTTGACCTTTGTGTGTTTTAAATTTTGACTTTTTATTTCCCAAGTCTTACTTCATCTTATCTCCAAAATCATAAGTTTTGATAGAAAGGAAGCAAAGGAGGCTGTACTGGACCAGGAAAGCTGCCCGCCCCTAGATTCAGGACAGCAGTTAAACTATCACAATATCTGACTACACATTTTTTAGCCCTGAATTATCTATTATGAAATTGTAGATTGTTGTCATCATCAGTTATATTTCATGTTATTTTAACGAGTACTGCCTGTGTGTATTCTACAGTACAAGCTCCCCGTATTCAAAGGGGAAAAAAAAATGAAGCAAGAGGTAAATTTAAGCTTTGTATATATAAAAATTATTTTATATATATTTTAGTCTTCCAGTTTCTGCAAAATAATTAAAATATACAGTAACTGGTCTCTTAAATTCTGAATTTAATGTATTAAATACTTACAAAATTTTATATTGGTGCCTTTTAAAAATTCATTGAGAGTGTTGGTGAGTTGTTTTAGCCCTACCACACTTTTATTGTGTATTTAAAAGAAAAAAAATCACATAAAATTTAAGTACTCTCTAATTCACCTTTGTGTTCTTAGAAAAAAGAAAAGGAAAAACTGCTAAAAGAATTTTCAAACTTTCAGCTGAGCTGGCAAAAGTGACATGAAACATTGAAACCAGATTTTAATCTTTTTAGCTTGATAATATTTCTGAACACTATTATATGATAGAGGAGAAATAGAAGGTAGGGGCACGTGTCAGCAGCAAATTGAATTATGCTGTGTTTTTGCTTTATTCCTGAGGAAGAATATGTTTGCACCACACAGGGTTTCTTTGTAGAATTTGAAGTCAATAATTACAGTATTGGTTTGCATTTTTTTATACCCAACTAGTGTTACTCTAGTCTTGGATCCTCTGTCTTCTCACCAGTGGTTGTTTTATGAAATAAAGTACAAATCATTGTTTCTCATTGAACAAAACAAAAGTTGTCACATAGCTCTGCTTCAAAATGTCATCTCAGATGTTTAGTACAAGGTTTGTCTGTCACTTGTGAGGGTGTCTTCAACTATGACAGCGTTTTAAACATGAGCTGCTCATTGTATAAAGTAGACATCATGTGACCAAGAAGCTGTGATATGCTAGTGTTTCCTTCTGTCATAGTATACTCTTAAGCCAAATTAATGACACCTTCAATATTTTTACATTTATCGCAGAGACCTAAAATTTTAGAATTTCCACAAAGTTTTTTACGTAACATTCTATTTCTAGTGGTTTTGTGTTCTCTTGCTGTACTGTGAGTTTGTGGGTATTTTTTCATATGCAGTCTTATAAATGAGTTCTTAATTCTATTTATGGTGTCTTCCCCCATAATACTCCATTTGTATATGTTCTGTACAAATTTGTTATAAATTCACCTTTATCCCATATAAAAAATGGTACGTGAGCAACTAGTTTCCTAAGATGACTTTTATATTATGAATTAATATGAAAATTTAGAGGTCATATGCTAAATCACAGTAAGTACAGAATAAAAACTTCTTATGGGTACAAATAAGCCAGTTTGCAATGAATCAGGCCTTCAGTTTACCTCAAGTAACATATAGTAAGGAAAACTTGGACAGATGGAAGTCACTGAATCCACTACTATGCACTTACTAGGATATCACTGAGTTTCATTTACTAGAAATGGGTTTTAAAAGGAATACACTGTAACTCTAACGAGAGAAGGGAAATAAGAATTGCTGATATTTTTGTTGTTCTTTTTTTTTAAAGTTGTTCAAATTACGAAACTGTGATCTAAAATACGTTTTGGCCGTGGAGCACTTGAGATTATGTACATCAATCACGTGCCCCCCCCCCTTCAGTGTGACTAAGTTGGGTTTTTACCTCTTTGGTTGTCACTTCCTCTCACCTTTTTGTCTTCACTCTACTCACAGCCCTTTCGCCATTGTCTCTGGATATCTTTCTTGACGCTCCTAAGAGTTGGATGAGAGGGTCAACTCTGAACCTCTGATTCATTAAGTCTTAATATTTTTTTTTGGTAGCTTTTCTTAGCTCTATAATCTGCTGGTGTATTTTTATACTCAAGTGTAGTTTTATATTTTTAAAGCTTGTTGGGTTGCGATGGTAAACTATCTAGTCCTTATTTTGCTTCGTTATCAAGGATAAGGCACCTAAAATGACTCCAGAGGTTCTGCAGAATATATGTCTAGTTCTTGTTTGCTTGTATTTTAAATTGTTTGGCTTTCTTCTAAAATACAAGTCATAAAAGAATGAGTGTTTCCCGCTCCCCCAACACATAGAAAGAGGATAAAGATGTAAAGAGTCTTAACTTTCTTCCAATTGGGGGGACAGGTGCTTTAGCAGTTCTGCAGTAGTATTCCAGGCTCGGAAGGGGTCTAGGCTTGCACAAATAGCCCAGCCTTTTAGACCATGTGTTATTTGCAGTTTCAGAAGGGTTACTTCCACTCTCTAGTTTAACAGATACTCTTTCTTTCCATAAAAGTGCAATACCCCTCTTTAAGTCTTAAAAACTATGGTAACTTTTCTTTTTGTGACATCTCTTCTTTAGCCAATGACAAAAAGAAACCACTGGAAATTATAACATGTCAAAGGGCGTAACAAACAAAGGTGAAAACCACTCCACTATCAAAAGATTAGAAAAATGTAGAAACAAATGACTTCTCTGACTTTCTGGAGGCTTCGTTTAGCCTAAATACACTTTGAAATCATGAGTGAGAAGTATAGCCTGTCTTAAAATTCTTAACAGACTGGAGTTTTTTCTTCTCCCACTCTTGCCTAATGCTCTTAAGTTAAGTAACTAATATTTAATGTTTTTATTTCGTGTCCTTTTGGAAAATAAATATCAAAGCACTTCGGTCAGGTTTAAATCCATATTACCTGTTGAAGAAAAAATTTTAAATCTTTGAAGCAGACATGTTTTCATGCAGATTGAGAAATATCTTTTGTATCATCCATATTTATATGTGGTGTGCTCTTTATTTTTAATACCTGTGTTCCTGTAGCGTAACTGCTGTAATGTAAATATATGTTTTGTTAAAATGTAACATTTCTTTGGCATTTCTTTTGAAGACATTTACTGCATTTGTACAGTATGTGTCTTGGCTACTTAACTTTTTTTTTTCTTTAACAATACCAAAGGTAATTAGACTATTTTAAGGACTAATTGCTTGTCAGTTTCTAGAATACTTTGATTGTTTTTTAGAAGAAAAAAGAAAAAAAATCAAACCAGTAAACCTCATTTTTTTCAAACTAATAATTTGGGGAAATAAAAACTGTTGTTTAAAAAGGAATATA